ACCTTCGCGGCAATGTGTTAGAGCAGTACGATTTTGGCAAGATGAAGCTACATGATGTGGCGGTCACTCCGGATGGCGTGCGCCTTCTCGGCGTCGGGCCCCTACTTGAGTCGCCGACTGGCAGGCAACCGAGCAAATCCCCGGCTGAGAAACGTCTTGCAGGTGGGTCGTTTCGATCAATTCTTGTCGTGAGACGCTAATGATTTCATCAGTTTACAATACGGAACTGAAACTAATCGAGCAGTACGTTCTGTTTTGAGGTTTACAACTAGTTTTTAACCATCCGTCGAATAGTCAAACCCCTGTCCTGAACGATGTGCGCGATGTCACTTTGGCGCGGGATACGCGGCAAGGGCTCGTTGCGCTCGTCAGTTATGAAAACAAAGTGCGTGTCTGTTTATTTTCACAATGCCGGCGTTAAGTGTTTGCGCAGGCCCCACCACAATTATGGAGGATGGAGATGGTGAAGGACCGCGAAAACGTTGCTCACCTCGTCGCCCGGTTAACGCTGAGGTTCATCGCCTCTTCGTTTGTCTGCACTTGGAACTCATCGTCGTCTTTAGACACACTTACATGCCTAAACACGCCGTCGAGTTTGCGGGGCCGAGCTATTTCGGCGGCCGGAACGACGAACTGGTGCTCTGTGCCGGGAAAGGTGGGTTTCATCGTTGTCCTTCTTTCGCACTAATGAGCGGCGGGCAGCGGGCGATATCCACATCTGGGACCAGGAGAGCGGAACATTGCTGCGACACATCCGTGCCCAGGCGCAACAATCTGGCGACCTGACGTGCATCGCATGGAATCACGCGGCGGAGGATCCATTCATGTTCGCCACGGGCTCGCACGACGGCGCGGTGCGCATCTGGACCAAGCCGGAGGAAGTGGACCCGGAGCTAGTGCACCGCGGGGACAACGACGACGTTTACGGTGGGGGCGGTGGTGAAGAGGGCAGCGGTGAGGCCGAGGCCGATGACGAAGGCGCGCAGATGGCGCGGTCGGCGTCGCCGTTCGAGATGGAGATAGAGCGAACCGACAGCCCGCTGACGCAGGCCGAGTTCGAGGCGGTGGAGCGGTTGCGCGAATCGACTTCAGCGAGCGAGGTGTCAGTCGGGACGACACAGCGGGAGCGGATGGTGGCGTTCGCGGACTCGGATGAGGATTGAGAGTCGTAGCGTGAGCGCTGCCACTCGCAGGACGAGGCGATAGTGCGCTGGCCCGACTGGCCCGGAGTTGGGTGGGAATGGGAGCATGGCCTTTTTTATCAACGTATGTATTATGCAAAATCATGGAAAGTCCTAGGTAGGATAGGATACACGATACCACACAATGTCTCCACACGAATCTAAATAATCTAATCTTAGGCCCTGTTCGGGATCCCAAGTTAAAATCCCAATTACTAAATTTCCCTGCCAAACGCACCATTTAGTATCTGGACCTAATTAACCCAAGTCACCATCAGTCACTCGGTCTAGACCACACGTTTCGGATCTTCCCGAAGCTGACGCGACAGATCCATTTGTCGTTGTCGTGTCGCAGTCCCGCCCTCCAAAAAACTTTCTTCTTTTTGCTCCTCTGAGTCCATCCAAACATCAAGAGAAGTACAGAAATTCATTCAGAAAATACATGTCATGTTATCCACCAAAAGTGCGCCATTGAAAATGGCTTCAGTTATGAGATACACATCGTCGTCACTGACGGCGGGATAATTGAGCAGTGAGCGAGTTGAGGCGGGGCCCTCGGCAATTCGGATTGATTATTACCGAGTGCCTGACCGGAAGTCGTACCGATATCATCATCAGTGACTTGATGTGACGCTCGTAGATAGCCAGACGAAATTTAGTAATTTGGGATCCCGAACAGGGCCTAAATAAAATGCCGCATCAGGAGGGATGAGTCGGCGTGTTGATCATCGAAGTCTTAGATACGGCTCTGTATCCTCGCGGAGTGTGCTGCAAGCTAGTGGATCGTGTATGAGCAGGCGTAAGGCAGAGAAAGAAGAGCAGACATACCGCACTCTTCTTGCAGAGACAGTATTCCCTGGGCCAACAACAGTCCAATGTCCCCACCCCTCTGTTCCAAAGCGGCCCTGTATGTCATCAGGTCCATCCGGTCGCGAAGGATGCTTCGGGGTCTGGAGTTGTGTTCCCATATGAACTCGCTCTGGAACAACAGCAAGGTAACCGTTGTGCCAGGGGAAAGATTCTGAAAGGCGGCGTAAAAGTCCTGCCAATTGTTCGCATCTTCTCCTCGCAGGTGTTTTGCGCTCGCCTCGAATATGATACCTTCCAGGCTTGTATGCGCAGCACACTGTGTTAATATGGATGCCAAGTCCGTGATGCTTAGCCGGCCGGAGAAGCGGACTGAACGCAAACATGGGAAGGATGTGAGCCCCAGGTCTTCATGTATAGCCGGAATTGGATCTGGGGAAGAGAGCATGTCGGTGCATATTATCAAACAAGGGAACAGAAGAGCTGACATATTCGGTACGATATATCCAGAGTTTCCAGGATGTTATTCTGCGATAATAGTTCCAGCAATGAACGAATCGCATTGGCATCGCTCAACCCGTGTAGAGAAAGCGTTTTAAGACGGGAGAAATCTATGTTGGAGCTGGAGAAGGCGGGTGCGAGCTTTTCGTGGGTGAAATAGTCACTAAAAGCTAGATGCTGCAGTTGCGGTCGCCAGTTTGGGGGTACAGTGACTGGCGTCGACGGCGGGCCATTTGCATAATCGAGGGCTAATTCCTTCAGTCTCTCGGCACCGCACAGCATGGCTATGAATGGCGACGGATGTTCGACATTGAATCCCAGCAGCCGGACCGATTCGATTGCGGGCGAGCGAAGCACGTCATGGATCGCGGTCGTCAGTCTTCGAGGCAGCTGGTCCCACAAGATGTTCTCTCTACACACGATTGAGACCGCCTCAAATTCAGACGCAGACGCGAGAGGATGGAGACCAGCGTTCGGCCTGAAGCCATCCACGGCACGCCTGCATTGCGTCCCATATTTGCTTCCCTGTCTCGCCCACGGACGCTCAGGCCCTCGACGATTCGAAGATCTTTGACGAGGGGTGCGAGGTGTGGGGACCGGTCCAAGAGCATATCGAATTTCTGGCAGTGATTCCGCTGCGCCACGCTTACTAATTGAGAAGCGGTCGACTCGGTCGGAGGTAGCAAGTAGACCGTCGAAAATATGTGAATGCGAGTGGATGGTACGAAGACACGAGCTGCGAGCGAACATGCCTTCAGAGAATAAATATCGCCGTGAAGATCGTTTACAATTATGTCCAGGAGCTCTGGTGGAAATACGGGCATTGTCGTGGTCGGCAACAAGTCCATCACCAAATTCCCTGGGATCTTATATCTGATTGCCGGTCTTGTAATCATGTCCGGGAATCGCAACCGGCGCAATCGCTTACAGCCTCCTCGCAATCCACTTGCAACCACACGGCAAGTGGCTGCAAGTTGCTTTCCTTCTTACCGTGCGAATACAAGCCCCTTTCCGGTGGATCCTGGGGATGTGGGTGGATCCGTGCATTGAGGCACCGTTTGGTTGAGTGGTGAACCTTTAATGGCATTGAATATTATTATATTAGTTTCCTCTCATTTTTTCCTATGATTTGGCAAATTGCACATTCCTCAATGTCGTCGTGAATGGCCGAATTGATTTTTAGACTTCGTCTCATCCGCGTTCTAATGACACGGTCGCGAAAGCAATGTTCGAATGACGAGGACGGACCAGTCTCCACACTTGGACCCGCAAGGGCTCCCTTGCTCGACGCTCGTCGCTGGCCCTGGTCGTCCGACTCGTCGGCTTGTTTGGTGGGTGATCCACGTGTGAGGTCCGTGCGCATCAATCAATGTTGATCATTTGATGCATGTTGAGGGCGTTCCTCTTTCTCAAACCGCCACGTACTCATGCCATCTCCCTAAGTAACACATATGTCTGCAACGCCAACCAAGATGCCAACCTCTGCCTGCCTTCCTCCTTACCTCCTTTGTCTTCCCGGTCAACCTGCTTACGCGAAAGTCCAAGACGCCGCCACCCGGGACCCAAGATCTGTTGTCCGTACCTCCGTCACCGTGAAATGTCTCAAGATCCTTACGCTACCGCCCTCCTCAAGAAGGCGTCAATCTCGAGCTACTGTCATCAAGTCTCCAAGTTTCTCCGAGCTGTCAAATCTCTCAAGTCGTCAAGCATCTCCAGTCACCAAGCATCTCATCCAGTCGTCAATCTGCCCGAAGAGAAACTTGAAAGACTCGGGGGCTACCAACTTAGCCACCGTACATAGACCCCATCTTAGGGTTAACATTCGTGCCTCAAGAAACCCTTAAACATCCAAATCCCTCAAGTCGTCAAGCCTCTCTTCCAGTCGTCAATCTGTCCTTGCTTCTTCCCATTGCTCGAGCTCAAGTCGTGTCCTCGCCCTGCTTCAGTGCTTCAAAACCCTGTGTCAACGCAAGCCTCTGAAACTTTTAACTTGACTGCCCCGGATCATTTGCAGTCCTGTGGTGTCGCCGGCGGCGCCTGAATCGATCTACACTTTTGGTACTGGTATAGCTATACGTATAACAATACAATATTTCATGGAAGATTTCAGGCTGAATGAGTGGTTGAGCTGGAGGATGAGCGGGTATGGTAATGTGCCCCAGAACGGGTTGGCAATACCAGACAAGATAGCTATGAGGTTCTTATGAGTTCAATGCCAGTCCATCACAACACACTCGTATCATGCTTGTATCCCTCATATAATCCAATCGTAAGATGCTTGCAAGCAGCTTATAAGATAGGCCGGCGCCTGGCAAGAACTTATACCCGATTATGCCCCTCGTAAGCAGCTTGCATGCGATTATGTCTATTGTAAGCGCTTGTGACCCGGCCGTTGTCGGATCATAATTCTGTAGGATTTTTGGTGATGTCAATGTGTCGCCGATCGTGAGTGCTCCGTGATTCCCATTGGAGGGACTGAGGATTATATAGGTAGAGACTACAGCCCATAATGGCAAGATGGCCGAGCGGTCTAAGGCGCCGCACTCAAGATTCATGTGTCTTTCCCATTGGGTGGGATCCTAATTGCGGTCTCGCAAGAGGCGGGGGTTCGAATCCCCCTCTTGTCAATTTTTGCTCTTCCTCAAATCTGCTTCTTACACAATTTGATCCATACCGCGAGTTCTCGTCTTCTCTGGCCGTTCACCATACAACCCGCCGGATTAGACCGGTAACCGATCTCTCTCTGAAGTGGGCAAATACCGACAAGCTTGCTTTCTCGTAGGCAGATTGGTCACCAGTCTACCGCCGGATCCTTTTGGACGCTCTGCTGAAAGCAAAATTTGCAACTCACAAGATAACCATGGTGGGGAAGCCTTCAAGCCAAACACGAAGTTGTGGGCAGCAAGCCTTTTCCGAGGGTCTGTTCTGTCTTTACGCTTGACTGTCAACCGACGACGACTTTCTCAACATGCCCGACGCGTCCACTTTTAGAAGATCGACGCGACAGGCTCAAAATCTAGTAAATTTCGCGTCGTTCGGTCGATCGTCCAAAAGTTTGAGCAGGTTTGAGCGCCGTCGTTTCGCGATCCCCGACTCCCCTATGTCTGCAACCAGCCTGCGACTCGCAAGAGCTCCTCGACACAATAGTAAACCACCTTGACGACGACGTCTCTTCCCCTTTACAGCTGCACCGTTTGCGAAGGATCCCCCCTTCCTCGAGGATCTCAGGGCCGCGTGTCTTCGAAATAAGACTCGGGCGGCCCGTGGACACGTCGGGACGCCCGTTACCAGTTTTAATGACATCCACCGCGCGTAACGCGTAAAAAAGCCCGTACAACACGCGAGAGACAAGTAATGTTGTAGCGTCTGTCTACGAGAGACAGGCGCGTCTTGCTTTCGACCACAACATTCCCCCAGAACTCCTGGTCATGATTGTGAACCGTCTCCACGACGATATCCCTGGTCTGAAGACAGGCTCCCTTGCAGCTCCGGTGTTCTTGCCCTATATTCGGTAGGTACCAATCTACCTGTTACCTCCTACTATCGCGCCCGGTTCGCAATCACCCACTGTCAGAAATTAGCGACGATCCTAGACCGGTCCCCGCACCTCGGGTACGTTGTCGAGGATCTCCGTCTCGTTGAGCGCACCAAGTGCAAATTCCTACATCCCCCCGAAACGAAACTGCGGCGCACTACAGGCGTCCCGTGGATGGACGGGTGGGCGCGGATGCTCGTCTCCATCCTCGAGCGTTTGCACTCTCCACGCACTACAGCGTAATCTGGGACTGGTTTCCCCGAAGACTGAGGACCGCGATCGAGGACGCGGTCGGTCTGTTTGCTCAGAATCGGTCTTGCAAGCGACACCCCCAGTGTGACGCTGAAGGAGCACTTTGAGCGACTGCTGTCTGCACCTGCTGTATCCCCCAAATGGCGTCCCCGCCTGGAACATCTGGCGTTCAGCGACTATTTCTCCGGCGGGGCGCTGTCGTTCTCCCTACCGAGTTCGAATATCCATTTCTCCCGCCTCAAAACGCTCTCCGTGGACGATACCAAGACGATGCGCTGGATTCTGGGACAATTGCCGCAGAACAATGTTGTGGAATATGGTATCCAATATGTCAACTATCTCCTTTCTTTCTTTCTCTTCGTATGCGCTAATACTCTCCTCCTCAGATCTCGGCATCACGCACGAGGATCTCGGGATCGCGGCCCTCCCGTGTCTGCGCTCCATTCGCATCTCCGGGTGGTTGAGTATCCTGAACTTCACAAGTTCACAGCCATCTTGACACACTGTACGGCGCATCGTGTTCGAAGCGGGCGGACAACTGCTCCAAGTAGAGGATCCAAGCCACTGGCCGGGCTTCAAGTTCTCCGCCTCCCGGAAACTTGCACCCCGCCAAACAGTTGCCTTGCTCTTGTCCAGAGCGAATTCGCGCTGGTGCCTGATTACGACCCGGAAACCGCGCGGCGCGACCGCAAGAGACAAGACATCTTTGCAGCGGCGGGAGGGCTGCCGGTGGCCCAGGGTGGACGAATGCCATCCGGTGCCGCCGCTCATCTACCTACAGGTCGTACCACACTCGCCGACTATACAGAGCCGCATCCGAGTCTTTGATCGCTCCCCCAACGTACGACGACGAGGCCCAACTATGGCGCGCGTGTGCGAATGCCCTCGTCGCCTGCGTCGGAAGCGGAACGCAAACAGAAAACCGCATCACGCCTGCTTTTGAGACTCCTGCTCACCGACATCGGGTATCGCGATCGATTGACCGCTCTCAAACTCACCCGGAGTTCTCGTTTGTCAGGCCTGTCGGACAAGCAATTTCCCGATCTCTGTCGTGCCCATCAGGCGGAAACTCGTCGTCGACGATTCAAGCGCCAGAGCCAGTCGTTTTGGTGCAAGGACGAGGACGGCTTTCTCTGCATCTGCTTCCTCCCGCGGCCCACCAAGCCCAACGATTTGTGTATGGTCGCAGCGTTGCCATACTCAAAAGCACATCGGGACAAAAGACTAAATTCTACGTCCCACTACATACGTACCATAAGTACTCTCACTCTCACTCCCACTCCTACTATCACTACTCCTACCTACTACTATCACGAATAACTACTACTGTACACTCGCCCACCGGCGGCCGGGAGCGAGCGCGATACAAATACATCGTCTGACGCGTGCGTCTTTAACTTGGGTCTGAAGGAGCGTGTGTGTGTTGCGGGTGCGGGTACGGGGGTCTAGGGTATGCGGTGGTGGTACAGTGCGAGCTGCGGCGTCGCAAATGTTAGCGAAGGTAAGAGGAAGGAGGAGGAACGCACCAATAGACAGACAATCAATAAGGGTGAAAAGTATGCCCGGGGAAGGGCGAGAATAATATAAGGTGCGGCGAGGCGGAAGAAGGTGGAGGTATGTGCGTCGGGCGGGAGAAGGGACGACGAGGTGTATGCGTGCGTCGTCGGAAGAAGGTGAAGGGTGGTAAATGTTAAAAATGTAGCGAGAACAGTGCGATGCGATGCGGATGGCTATGATACACATGTGTGATGTCGTGGTCGTCATCGAGGCGGGAGCGGGCGGGTTTGGCGCATCGGGTCTGTGCGGCGCACGTCTTGAAGACCGGATAAATATGTCGCCCGCCGTACAAGTACACTGGGTTGGGTTTGTTTGAATCTGAGAGGGGTGTGCGTGGGGGCGGGAATCAAGATGTTGAGGGGGGCGGGATCGAGGATGTAATAGGGTGTAGTATAAATTACGCAGTGCAGTTTTGACTTTGGCTGCTGGATTTTGAGGGGCTGCAACGCTCGTCAGTTTATTACAAAACAGAAAGAAAAAGAGAAACCGCACCTCTACGGGTACACTAAACCGATACAGAAACAGGAAAAAAAAACCAAAACAGTTACAGAACGATATGCGTGATGTAACCAATGCGTGCGGGAGGGACGCGGGTGTCCGAAACGAGCGTGGCCGTGCCGAGAGTTGACCGGGGAAATAAGAATAAGATAACGTCTAATACGACGAATAAGGATAAGAAAATAAAGATAGGGGAAGACGGACTCAAGCAAAGAGCGGCGGGGGCAACTCCTCGGGGCTCGGCGAGTTCTGGAACATGGAGCTAGCGAAATAGCCGTCGGGGATGGCGGGGTCGTCGGTGGAGCGGTCGGTGGAGCGGCTGCGCTTGGAGAGGGCGTGGATAAAGGCCTGCATCTCGGGGTCCTCCGGTGGGAAGACGCCTTCGGAGAGGTGCTTTGCACGGCGAGCGGCGGCTGCGGGGCGGCGCTTGGGGCTCGAGTTGGGGGTGCTGGTAGTCGGGAAGGGGAAGAAGGACGCAGGGGCAGCGCTGGCGGACGACAATGGGGCTGTTCGGGGGCCCTCGGGCACACGGGTGCGCCGGGTGGGGGTGCGAGGCTCCGCAAGATGGAGGTCGGGGCGGGTGCGAGTCGGAGTGATGGGGCGGGGGCTGTGGCTGTGCGATTCGGGCGAAGATGGCCGCGAGCCAGCCTCTGTCATATCGTCGCAGATGGGGAAGACGTCCGAGTCGAGGGTCGTCGCGCGCTGTGGTTTGCGGCGGGGCATGTGCATGTGCGAGAGCACGGGGTCAGAGCGAGATAGAAGAGTCGGGTTTGCGGGCGCTAATTTGGGCGGGACAGGGATGGGAAGCTGACGGCGCTTGTTGGGTGCTGCCGGTGCAGCCCTGAATGGATCCGGCGACGGCTGGCGGCGCCGGGAAGGTGCTGCTTGGGACGAGCTGCGCTGCTGCTGCTGTTGGTGCTGCTGCTGCTTCTTGCCCTGCTGCCGGCCCCGTATCTCTGGTGCAGGTTTCAGCGGTGCTGGGGTGCCCTCTCGGGATGCTGGCTGGGCCTGCTGGGCCTGCCTCGGCTTGGGGGACACCTTGTGATCGTTCCTTGCCCTAGGTGGCCTGGACAACGACAATAGGCCGGGTGTTCTTGTGGGCTGGACGACGACGGCTTGCGGGGGTGCTGAGGGGTGCCTGCGGTGCGTGTGTATGTACGGGGACTGGGCTAGGGCCATTGAGAAGTGCGGTTGTTTCTGGAGGAGCATCATGGCTCTACAGTGTGGATCGTGGTGAGAGGAAGGGAGGTTTTAATTTGTCCTTGTTTTTTCGGACGATATCGCTCCGAAATCCCGTGACCCATTGTCTCAAGGGCCACCAATAAATCATTCAATCAACCCATCTATCGCAACGGCGATCAAGCCCATCCCGAAGCCATGATTAACGTTCTGCTCGAGTCTGCTCGTTGCGCTGTATCAACGCTGTATCCTTATTGTCTCTGTCTTCATCATTGTTACGCCCCGGCGGTGTCCTCCATTCCATTTCAGTCTCGCATTACTTACATCATATCGCGTGCACATGGCATGTCCAATTGATTCCGCTATCCACTCCGACGGGCTGTGCAACACGACTCAGTTCCCCCAGGTTCCCCCACCTTCTAACTGCGCTCCAGTGTCTGTCCAGTGTCTTCCCAAACGTTGTCCTCAAAGCTGTTGCCCTCTGTTACCGCCCCCCAACCGGCGCGCCCATATGCAATACCTCTCGCACTACCCCCATGCGTCTACGTGCCGGCCCCAGTAAATATGTAGCCTGGGCCTGTGGGAGCCGCGAGTCGAAGCCCCCAA